ACATGCCAGCTTCTGTACATACACCCTAAATAAAGAAGTAGAATAAATAATTTTGATACTCAAAAATGTTTTATTATATCTGTAAATAGTATATTAAATACCTTGACTTCTGCACCTGATGCACCAGGCATAAGTTCTGCAATTTTTCTTAAATTTATGCCACGAGTTAAATTCATTTTCCTGGAGTGAATTTTTAAAATATCAAGTCGTGCTTCTTCATTTGGAGGTGGAAATTCGATTTTGCGATCTATACGTCCTGGTCTCAATAACGCTGGATCTAATATGTCAATTCTGTTTGTAGCCATAATAACTTTTATATTTTTTGTTGCTTCAAAACCATCCAATTGATTAAGTAATTCAAGCATAGTTCGTTGAACCTAATTATAATGTAAAATGTTAATAAAAATTGAAATTTCCAAATCAAGATGAAGAAACATACTTCACTATCCCCTCCAGATCCAGATTCAATGCGCGAACTTCCAATTGAATCTATTTCATCCATGAATATTATAGATGGTGCATGTTCCCTTGCCATTACAAAAAGCTCACGAACCATTCGTGAACCTTCACCAATGAATTTTTGTACTAGTTCAGAACCAGATACACGAATAAAAGTACATTCAGTATGATGAGCAACTGCTCTTGCTAACAGTGTTTTTCCTGTGCCTGAATGTAAATGACAAATTTATTAATGATATAAATTCTTGATAAAAAGAAACACGAAATGTAAATTTTAAGATTTCTTCATATTATTTTTTACCTGGTGGCCCATATAAGAGTACTCCTTTAGGTTGAGCAATTCCAAGAGCATCAAATAATTCAGGATGTTTCACAGGTAATTCAATAACTTCTTTGATTTCCTTAATTTGTTTATCTAAGCCACCAACCATTTCATATGTAGAATCTGGTACTTTTTCCACCATCATAAGAGAAACAAGTGGATCAACTTTGTTTGGCAAAATTTTATGCAATGTGTAACTTTCATTGCGTAATGCAACTCTTGAATTTGGTGTTACATCATTAATATCAATATTTTTATCAATATCCACCACAAATTTACCCTCAGGATGTACTTTAACTAAGACTTTCTTTTTATCCATTGGCTTAACAACTTCTCCAACATATGATCCTTGTTCCTGGAGAAGTTGTAATTCTTCTCGCAACATACGTACTAAAAAAAGAAACAAATTTTGTTTTGCAATATATATCAAATGTAGATAAATATTAATGGAACATATAAAAGTATGATTATAGAATGCCATACCTTTTGCATTAAGCTCATTACGTTGTGCTTGTAACCTCCTTAAATTTTGACTCTTTTCAGCTACAATTAACTGTAGTTCTTCGATTTTAGTAATATAATAGGGTTTAAAACCTTCTCCTTTCGCAATTTTCTCATCTATTTCCATCTATAATATCGGAAAGAATAAAGACCAATGTAAAATAATATATAAAGAGTTTAGGTTGGATCACTTACCTTATTTGTGAGCGTCATTGTTGCACCCACTATTTATGAACAATTATAAATAATAATTGCTTTTATATTGCCATTTACTTATGAAAATAAGTGGAAAGTAAAATTTTAAACTTAGCAGTTATACGTGATGTTACTATAAGAATTGCTTGTCATTGATACTACTGTACATACAGATACTCTATCTCAAGTTAGAAGTCGATTGATTGATATAATATTATCGAGAGTTGATTTCATATCGATTAATATATTTACTTTATATCGATTATAAAAGCTTTAGTAAAAAGTTCCAAAAAATTTCATAATAGTTAATTATGAAAATAAAATAGATTAAACTCTTTACCATTTATTTAATACAAACCATGAAGTATTTTAATGACAATTCATTAAATATATTCGCACATTGCAAACAACCCTTGACTATACACGGTATACTAACATTTATAATTTCATAAAATTATGCCATTACTTATATATTTTATTTACATTCCCGTGGTTACTTTTCATTCTAGGTGATTTAACATAATAATCATTATATTTTATTAAAATGTCTA